CGGCACTGGGGCTCGCTGGGGAGCTTGGGTGCGCTGCCGGGCCCCTCCGTAGGCCCGGTGGACGTCCTGTTCCTCCGGGTCATCTGACTCGACTTGGAGGGCTGCGGACTGGGGCTCGCTGGGGAGCTTGGGTGCGCTGCCGGGCCGCTCCGTAGGCCCGGTGGACGTCCTGTTCCTCCGGGTCATCTGACTCGACTTGGAGGGCTGCGGTGGGGGTGATGTGCGACCGCTCCCACGCGACTGCCGCTGCGAGGGCTTCTGCTGTGGTGACTTTTTCTCTCTCCGTCAGCTTCCGCCTCAGCTTCATCTCTCGCAGGCCCACGACGAAGTGGTCGCGGAGGGCATCCTCCAGGTGCTCTCCGAAGTTGCAATCCGCCGAGAGTTGTCGCAGCTCTGCGAGGAACTCCGCGGCGGTCTCCTTGGCCTGTTGATGGCGGGTGTAAAACGTTACCCTGCAGGCCAGCTCGGTGGGCTTGGGTGCGAAGTGTTGTTGCACCGCATCGATGATCCGCTCGAACGTGCAGTCGCCAAGGTCCGTGGGGGAGAGTAGTCGTCTGGCCAGGGACACCACGGCGGTGCCGCAGGAGGCCAGGAGGAACCCCCGCTTCTTGCCCTCGTCGGTCACATCAAAAAATTCCAGCGCGGACTTGGCCCCTTGTACCCAGGAGGGCCAGTCCTGCGGGTGGGCTATGTCGAAGGGCTGCAGCAGCCCAAGCCCCGGTGCGGTTGCCATTGTGCGCGTCGGAGGGGGTACGGGAGGAGCGGTTCCGTTGCTCGCTGGATCGCTCATCAGATCGGCTGCTTCGCGTCCTCCTAGTCCCTCGCGACGGCCTGGCTCAGTTGCGGCTGAATCCCATCCTCGTCGCCCAGAGGAGGGACCCTATTGTTGTTCGGACTGTTCGGACTGAAGCTAGGGCATATGCGCTGACCTCCGGTGGCGGTCCGCGGACACTACAGGTAGTCGATACTACATAGGTAAAAGTGGAGGATTCAGTAATCGGGGATTACAGAGACGAATGGCAGATTCATTGCCCTCCTTTACAATTTACACTTTTTTGGCCTTCCTGTGAACCCATGTTCTTATTTCTTTCTGTGTACATACATGTAATCCCTGTATTAGGGCTGCTGCTTACGTTTTTCTTCTCTGCTGTGTTTTATCCTCACAACAGCCTGGTGAGGTAGGCTAGGCTAAATGTTTGTGTCTGCAGGGCCGGCTCGCCCGCTAGGCGAACTAGGCATTCACCTAGAGCGCTGGCCGGCCCTTAGGGCACGGGAGGAGAGGCAGGGGCGCGCGCCCGGCCAGCATGGCAGAGGGAGGCAGCAGCGCAGCCCGCAGGAGCCCGGCACGCTCCCGGCACTAGGAGCCAGAAGAGGGCTCTCCATGGGACTGCATACCTGGCTGCAGCCGATTCCCCTTCTGGAGGGCGGAGGAGGTGCTCTTTTCTCCTCTCCTGCTCCTGAGGTGGCTGGTTGTGCTGCTCTTAATTTAAAGGCACAGCAGCAGGCTGGTCAAGCGGCGCCAGCCGCGTTGGCAACCCTTCCCTGGCTCTCTGGAGAAGGCCACGCATCTTCCAGCCAGGAGGGCGCTGGGCTCGCCCGCCAGTACTGCCACCGCCTGCCTGCAGCTCCTCCTGCTTCTGCCGCTCCTCACTCAGGTCCTGCGCGCCGCCCTCTCCCTCGCCTGCCTGCCTCCACTCCGCCTCATGGAAGGACTCCCTGGGTCCTAGCGCTCCCTGTCCTGCTGGGGGATTGGGGCACTCGGCGTGTCCAGAAGCTCCTTGCCGGGGTTGCCGAGCTCCCCACCCCCGCATCACACGCGAGAGGTGGAATTTGCTCCTAGGAGTCCAAGGCCACCACCCCGGGGCTCAGGGATGCCGGGAACGTTTCACCCCACCCCTCCCCCCCTGCGGCCATTGCAGTTTCCGCCGAAAAGCGGCGGCGTCCATAACTTTTTGAAGAGCCCCTCCCGAGAGCTGGGGGAGCCAGAATGACCTCTCGCACATGACCTCTCGCCGCTCGGACATCACACGCGAGAGGTGGAATTTGCCCCTAGGAATCCAAGGCCGTCACCCCAGGGCTCAGGGATGCCGGAAACGTTTCGCCCCTCCCCTCCCCCCCGTGGCCATTGCAGCTGCCACCAACAGCAGCAGCCGCAGCGGCCATAACTTTTTAAAGAGCCCCTCCCGAGAGCTGGGAGAGCCAGAATGACCTGTTGCGTGTGACCTCTCGCCGCTCGGACATCACACGCGACAGGTGGAATTTGCCCCTAGGAATCCAAGGCCGCCACCCCGGGGCTCAGCGATGCTGGGAAACGTCCCCCCCCCCCACAGCCGTTGCTGTTGCTGCCGCCCCAAGGGCTTCGTGGCTGCGAGGATGCCCCGCCTCCTCCCCTTGCAGGCACCCCTCCCCTCCAATGTCCCCCATCCAGCGGGGCTGAAGAGGGACCTGGCAGCAGCCTGCGGGGCACACCGTTCTTCGCGGAGGCCAACCCCCCTGTTGGCCCTTTAAGGTCGAGGCCAAACCTGCAGCTGGCAGGGGGATTGTAACTGGCTTGGGAGAGAGGGGGGAGGCGACGGGGGCACCCTCTT